AAACATCTAAGTCGAATAATGCATAAATAAAATAAATAATCATTTTTTCCGTAGGATCGATTACTGTACTTATTTTTTTAAATTTTGATGAATTCATACAAGGTGTAACTGAAATAAGTATTCAAAATTTCTGAGCTTGTAAAACAAGTCGAAAAATGACGAAAACTTTAGTACAATGTTTGTCAGTGGCGGCTCCTAAGGGAGCTACGCTCTCCTAAAGGGGTAACCTCGGAAACAGTTTTTAATGCGTAACATCCAAACGGCTCGACATTAAGTCACGAAATTTTGGTGAGACATTAACCTTGACGTGCTTAATAAGTCTCATAAAATACATTTCAAAATTTGCTACAGGGGCGTGAGAAAATGCAGGACCCAGGGACAAATTTAATCATATCTTTTTTGTAGTCAATTTTTTCTAGTTCCTGACTCGAAAATATTGAAATTTGAAGTATTTAACATAAAAAAGGTCCTCTTGTTAAATTTCACTAGGATGTGCCGTTTTCCAGTAAAATCGATTTCAATCATTCCCAACGTGCTCCAAATTCAACTTTCATTACATAGCAAAATAAATTAATTGCAGTGTGCCATGGGGAAAACAACTAGTCTGACAGTTAACAGAAATGTCAAATATTTTTAACACTCTTAATAGTAACAAATAAAAATATGGTGATATAAATAAAAGCTAAAAAATAGATACATATGAGATTATTTATTAAACTATTGTAAGCGGCTGAAACTTTTACGTAACATTTTAACAGATTTAAACCATTTAGTTTAGTTTAACAAATTAACCAAATATCTTAATTTCTTTAGCAGAAAATGTGCCCTAGTCAAGAAGACAGACTAGATTCAACTTTCAAAATGTCCGCCGTTTGCCCTAATGCACGCACGTAACCTGTTTTCCAAAGAAAATAGGTTCCGGTATAGTTTGTGCTCCACATTGAGTTCATTAAATGCATTTTCTATACGCTGACGCAACTGTTCCTCATTGTCAACAGCTTGGAAATACACATTTTGTTTCATTTGACCCCACACGTTAAAATCCATTGGGTTGAGGTCCGGTGACCGTGGAGGCCAATTTATGGCAGCATCATTTCCTCGGCCAATCCAGCGATTTGGGAAGTGCTCGTTTAACCACTGTCGACATTGACGGTTGAAGTGAGGAGGGGCGCCGTCATGCATGTACCATAAGGAACCTCGTCTTACCAAAGGAATATCCTCTAAAAATTCATACAATCTAGTAGACAAAAATTGATGGTACATTGCTCCGGTTAAATTTCCAGGCATGATGTGATATCCAAATAGATTATTTCCTAATGTGGCAGCCCAAACATTTATTTTAAATGAATGCTGATAATGGGTTACCTTCCGAGCATTAGGATTTTCTTCGGCCCACATATGTTCATTGCGCATATTAAAAACACCGCTTCTGGTAAAGGTAGCTTCATCGGTAAAAATAATATTCGATAGAAACATCGGATCTTCGGCTTGCCTGTCTAAAACCAACTGACAAAACTGTCTGCGCATGGGCCTGTCCTGTGGTAAAATGTCTTGGGCCTGTCTATAATGATAGGGATACAATTGTTGTTCTCTCATTATCCTCCATACTGTCATATGAGACATGTTATTTTGAACTGATAGTCGTCTTGTACTAAGAGTGGCGTTAGCTTCAACTAAATTTAAAATATTTTCCTCATTCAGGACATTTCTAATTATTCTACGCCTGCCTCTCTCAAAATTGTTCCTTTTTAACGTACCCCGTTCTCGCAAACGCCTTTCTGTGCAAAGAAATGTTTTGTAATTGGGCACATTTCTGTTGGGGAACTTTTCACCGTATCGTTGTGCGGCTGCTCTTGCGCTTCCATGACATTCACCTAACGTCAAAAGCATATCTACATACTCAGAAAATGTATACTGTTGCATTTTTAAATTATTTGATATTTTTATTTACTATAAAACGGCACTGCGAATACTCAAATGACACAAATTTGAAACTAAAAATACTTGACATTTCTGTTAACTGTCAGACTAGTTGTTTTCCCCATGGCACACTGCAATTAATTTATTTTGCTATGTAATGAAAGTTGAATTTGGAGCACGTTGGGAATGATTGAAATCGATTTTACTGGAAAACGGCACATCCTAGTGAAATTTAACAAGATCTTTTTTATGTTAAATACTTTCAATATTTTCGAGTCAGGAACTAGAAAAAATTTATTACAAAAAAGATATGATTAAATTTGTCTCTGGGTCCTGCATTTTCTCACGCCCCTGTAGCAAATTTTGAAATGTATTTTATGAGACTTCAAGGTTAATATCTCACCAAAATTTCGTGACTTAATGTCGAGCCGTTTGGATGTTACGCATTAAAAACTGTTTCCGAGGTTACCCCTTTAGGAGAGCGTAGCTCCCTTAGGAGCCGCCACTGACAAAAATTGTACCAAAGTTTTCGTTATTTTTCGACTTGTTTTACAAGCTCAGAAATTTTGAATACTTATTTCAGTTACACCTTGTAGATATACAGGCTGTTACAAATTCGCTTCTCATTACAGGGATCTAGGAAGTAGCTTAAGGAGGTATATCGGGGTCCGAGGGAAGTGAGGAGCGCAAGGGGGCCCTATGCTTTTCTTATGGGACTAAAGCCCGCTGCCAATTTGAAAAAATTAAATTCTATTGAAATTATTTGCGATAAACATCTATATAGCAAAGAAATCTACACATAGCATACATATTGACTAATTAACAACATAAAAATATCATATTTAAGTAGTTTTAAATTATATTTAATGAACGCATAAAGACTATGTAGATGTGGCAACAGCGCTAATAATTGACTAGCAGTTGTACACACTGCAAACCTATGGACCTCAGACATCGGAGATATTGCGCGTCAAATTCGGGTAAAGATGCGTACGCGTTAAAAAATGTATTGCGTGTAAACTATGTACAATATAATTATTATACAGTGCGTCCCAGAAGTAACGCAAAAAATTCGTATTTTATTTTGTGTTGAGTTTTCACAAAAACGCTAAAACACGTCAATTAGTAAATAGGAATTGTCATTTTGTCATGTTGCTTAAACCTTTTTTGCGCTATGTTTCATAAACTTCCTGTCAAAGTAAAGTAGGCCAAACCCTATATCGACGTATTTCCCTTCAAAAGGACTATCCATTTATGATTAAAAAAATAGGTAGTGCTATTTAAAAAAAATGTCGATGACGTCGGTTTATGAAACATAGCGCAAAAAAGGTTTAAGCAACGTGACAAAATGACAATTCCTATTTACTAATTGACATGTTTTAGCGTTTTTGTGAAAACGTAACACAAAATAAAATACGAATTTTTTGTACTTCTGGAACACACTGTATATAGCAAATATATCGTATTATCCTCGCGAAGATTTGTATCCTTTATTTAAAATCCGTAAATCATGTGAACTGGTAGAAATTCAATTATTACTCACTGTTCGTGTTTTTAATCTCTATTTTAGTAATGTTATAAAAGTTTTGCAACTATAACACATTTTTTAGATATAAAGTTTGCTGAGAAATATTTATGTTCCTTTGTTATTCCGTACAAATGCTTTTATCTCAAGTGTTACTAATTAATTATATTAATCATGCAAAGAAAACTTTATGTAACCCTAAATGTACGGATTACGATGTTTTTATAAACCATTAAATATATTAAAAGGATTTATCAACTGTATTTTTTATTCCAATAAATATATCACAGCTTTCTAGCCTTTTTTTTATTAATTTAGTTTTTTAAAAACATTACAAAAAATAATCTATTGTGGATAATTTATTGTTGATAACAATGTACATGGAATTTAGGAAAAATGTATATGTTTGAAATCAATTTCGTTTTTATCAAGTCTTTCAAATGTATTCCCTCCTTGCTGTCAGCTGATTGCGACGTTGCCACATTAATCCTCAAGTCAGACAGAAATGCAATTATTGGTTTCTGTTTCTAATTAATACAGCTGTACTATGTTCAAAACTTACATTAGTTTTGAACATAGTACAAATCAAAAATCTATATATAGTATCTATCAAAAATAAGATACTATATATGGAAAAGTTTCGTTTCACAATTTCTACATTCTTTTCTCAGTTACGGGCAAAAAAAGAGCCGCACCGTCCAGCTTCGCCATATAAACCTGTTAAAATGAACAACGAACAACTTTCAATAACAATATCTCAAAATCTAGATTCAAAAAATTTTTTCAAAAAATATGACGCACAGAGGGAGCACTGGGTAATACGCTATATAAATTTCAAGCACATTTGTGCATTTGAGTAAATCCGATATACCTCTTTAAATGGGGGCAAAGATGCGAAATCAGGAGACTAACATTATGCCTCTAAAAAATCAAGGTTAACATGATTGTATTTGAAAAAAAAAACGAAAATTTGTTTCCGTTTGTCTATTGGATACTGCAGCCATAGGAACGTGATGTCACCTAACTACGATTTTTAAAGTTTATTTTTCTATATTAATTTTTCACACAAAACTTTATGAACCTATAACTTTATAACAAGTTCTTTGGAAATTTCAAAAAACAGTTACAAAAATATCTCAGATCTACACATATGGATTAATATTTATCATAATTTTGATATGTGAATTTTTGTCCCATAAAGCTATGTCAACGTTCCAAATTTTAGCAACACCGCAAAAAAGTCGTTTTAAATTTATGACAGTTTATGTCAAACTAAGTACATTTGTACTAAGGTAAGCTTATTTAAATCAGCTATTCTGATTAAAAGAATGTGTGGTAGAGACTTATAGACTTTTTACGGAAAAAGTACCAAAAATATTTCTATAATGATGATGACAATGACTCACTTTAAATTTATGATTTTTTCCAATTATCAGTTTCTCAACTCTGATATTTATAAAGTATTTTTTTTTAAATGAAATAGAAAGATTGCAAATGTATTTGCATATGTAATTTTTATAAATGTAGATTGTAAAATGATATTTTTAATCTTCACCTTTAATTTTTTGAGAAGGAGTTCCTTTTCATGAAGTTCCTTCTCTAGTTCCTTATGTTTCTGAAGCAAATCATTGTTAATTTTAACCATTTCTTTTTCGGCGATATTAGTTTCTTCTTTAGCTTTACTTAATTCCCACATTTTTTCTTTGATTTGATTTTGTAAACAACAAATTGTTTGTGATTGATCTTCTATTATCTTTTCTTTAACCAAATGATTGTCTTTTTCCAAGCTCAAATCATTTCTGCAATATAAATTATTTTATATTTGACATGTTACTACAATTGAAATATCTACTTGCCTTACTTCTTCTAATTGCCTCCATAAACTTAAGCAAGCATCTTTTCTACAAGGACCTGATAAAACTCTTTTTAGATCTTCCACTTCTCTCTCTAGTTCAAGACTGTTCTTTCTTAAAATTTCAATAGTGCTTTCGGCCAATCTTATTTTTTCTTCCTATACACAATTCACTAGTAATTAGAGGTCTAAAGGTGGGCATACACGAGTCGACTTGCCGGACGGCCAACCTTGCGGACGCAAAGCTCTCGGCCATTACTTTTTAATGCTTTATTATGTTCAGTTTTACATAAGTTTAGGGAAAAGGTGTAGACATGATCTCGGAATATGATCTTACCTTGATTGGGGTGGCAATTGCTTTGTTGCCTGTAGGCAGTTAATTTCAAACGTTTATTTAAATATTGCCTGCTTTTTGAATTATACAAAAATAAGTATGCGATAACAAAATGTCACACTGTATTCAGAAACTGTTATTCAGAAACTCTCGGACTGTACTCATTCGTCAGGCATACACGCTCCGATTTGTATGCGAAAAGCATAGCCGGAAGGCAAAATTACAAACGCTGGTAGTTTTTCGGGACTAACCGGTTTGGAAATCGAAAGGCCGGCCTTCCGGTAAACTGCATCGTGTATGCTGGCCTTAACAGTTTGAGTTGCTATAAATTGAGTTGGTACCCAGTCTAAGATATATTCAAATAAGACAAAGTTATAGGTTTTAATGCTAGATTGGGCCTTATTTCAACAAAATACAGTTTATTGTATATACAAGTTACATATATTGTTGCTCAGAACCTAAATATGTTATCTGTAGTTTCCAGTAAAACATAAAACGATTGTCGTACCTACTCAGGCATTTTCTGAAGCCAGACTGAGAAAAGTTTAAAGTGTTATTTAAACAACAGTAGTTATAAATTGCTCTTTCAAGAATTTTGAATAGAGTTGGAATGAGACTAATTGGACGCAGATTTGATTCACTTTTTGGATAGTTTACTTTTGGTATCGGTTTTATTTGAGAGATTTTCCATTTTGAGAAAAATAACCAGTTTCCAAACAGGAGTTAATCAAATGTGTAATATGTTTATATAAAACACGGGCACATAATTTTAACATTTTAGCAGAAATAGAATTGAAACCATAAGCATTTGATTATTTTTTCTAAGCTATTGTTGTTGTAAGAATTGTCTTGTACGGACAAGCTGTGAATAATATTTGGCGCGTTCAGTTCAGTTCGGAGGCAGTTAGCTGAATTCCCACACTGTTTTTACTGATGTACTGATGAGAGTGATGAAAAGGTTGGTGCTGACTTGAGTATTGTACCTACTCCAAACGAGCATAGCATTCACAGACAAACTAACCGAACATTTTTGAGCAAAAGCTTGTGGTATTCGAAGTTTAGTGTTTATGTTCGTCGGGTTTAAACATAGACGCAGACGATGTAATAGTGGCAAGTGGCGTTTTTGTCCTCATACTTTCTTTGAGAGAGAAGAAAAAATAAAACAAACGTGGGTGAGGCGTCTTTTTTACAATGCAAACATACAGCATTGCTGAAAGATAAACCTTTAACTAAAATTTTTGACTGCATAAGATTTTGAAAGATTATTTTCCTTTCTGAGGCTCCCAAGAATACACTCAATCTTAGTTTTGCTTTGGTTCTGACAAAACGGTTCTAGGACGGATCAAATTAGTTGACCATTCCATTCATAAGAACGTCTAAGCACAATACATTTGGGTAATTATTTCTGAACTGTTCTGGGACTGTCCGATGACAGAACCAAAACAAGCCTCTTATACTTAGTGCCTTCAGACACATTTCATAATTTCGAGAATAGTTGCCCAGATGTCATATGTTTTAATTTTGTTATAATATAATCCATATTTTGGATTCCATAATACGGATGTTTTCATGTTCATCAATAAGTGCCAAACATTTTTCCCTGCGACATTCCATTTTTCTTGAATCAATAGAAAAAAATCACTTAAAATGACACTGTGCTCTGACGAGCAACTGAATTTATTTGAGAAACTGCCATTTACTGACAAGACGTGGATAATGTTTGGCGTATTCAGTTTGGCTCGCAGGCAGCCAAATTCGATCGTCATAAAATTCTTTTAGGAACTCCAACGTTGCGTTAGCTTTGTGTGTTGTTGCCCCATCTTGCTGAAAGTTACCATTGAGCAATTCGTCATCATGTAGCTGACATAAAATTGGCTGCACAATGTTTTGTCTATATCGCTCAGCAGTAATATTATCTTAGAAAATAGGTCCAATTATTCATCGCCGAGATAGCCAACTCATCTCCTATTTTAACAGGATGTAATCGTTTCCATTAACGTGTGGATACGACGTACGATAATTTTGTAAATTTATGTATCCACTAACATGAAGCCATGCCTCATCGGTAAAAAAAGTTATATCTAAATGAGTGTCATCGTTTAAGTTGTTAAACAGTTACAATAGTTCACTCTTTTTTCATTATCTAAAGGTAATGATTCTTGCAGCATGAAAACTTTATATGGATGTAAATGTAATTTTCTTACAGCATTGTGTACTGAACCATATGACATTCCTATAATTAATATAGGTACTTATTGAAATACTGATATTTAACATTTTATAAATATTTACTCGCCTGAACTGAAAGTTGTCGTAAAGGTTTAGTTGGGCTTGCTGCTGACCCTTCTTTAACATCCTCCAATTTATCTTCAGTTAAAATTGACTTTCTTCCATGTGACTTCCCGTTACAAACACTGCTAGTATTTCTGAATCGAGTCACCAAACGTCGAACATGCTGTGCAAAAATGTTATAATCTGCGGCTTCATGATTTGGAAACTCTTCCTGGAATTGCAAAAAAACATGAATGGATTGAATAGTTCCATCTATTTTCATCTCGTTGACCACAAGCATTTGATTGAAGGCTATCTATAATTTTCAAAGTATGATCATAACTAATTAATGTAGGCCTCTACAATAAATTTATCGTCTTCTAACGAAAACATCATTTTCCAACCTAAAACAGTTGGGACTACTTTACATCGAAGAAACCATTAGTACTTGCTTCCTTACCACGAAACTAACAGTTAACAGATTATAGCGTTGAAAAACACTGATTATTTAGAAGATTAACGATAAATTCAAATAACAACACAATTGGCGAACACAAATAAATACAGCAATAACACTCGGAAAGCACGGACGTCGAGAATCTAAGAAAACGGAAAGTAATTTTGATCAAATGAAAGTAAATTTTAATATCTTTGGTAACATTTACGTGTGACGTCGGCTTCAATCATTCTGGATCATCGGTACAATTGTATGTGTTTTAGGAAATACTTTTAAATTTTAGATTTTTTACTTCTGAACTTATAGAAATTAATTGAGATTATGCAAGAAAAGTAAATGTCATCGGTAAATAGTATTTTCCTGAAATAGGGCCCGAGTATATACGTAGATTTTTTTGTTCAAAAAGTGCTAAAGTAGTATTTAAATGATTGTTAAAATTTGTAAAAATTTATTTCACAAATGGACACGTAAGTTCTAATATTACCTTTTGTGATAATATTGTACTCTGAGATTCTAATAAGGCTTCTTGTTGTTTATTTATATTTGATAGTTTTAACAATGTTAATTTGTTATGCTTTACTACTGTAGTTAATTCTTCTACTAGATGCCTCATTTCATTGCGTTCCATTTCAAAACTTCGTTCATTTGCAACTGTTGTAGCAAACTGTCGTTGACATTCATCTTCAAGGTTCCTGCATCTAAAGTTGGTAACAAGATTTTGAAAAATTGTAATGCTTTTAAATAATAGCAGTTGGACTCATTTGAATACCTTTTTAAGATACCAGATCTGAAGAGTACACGGAAAGGGGTAGTCATAAAAACGATTACATGAAAAAAACTAAACTTATAACTTTAATCGTTTATTCAAGTGCATTATAAGTAATTAAATTGTTATACAAATATTTTTTAGAGGCACCCGCATGGTAAAAGTTTATGCGCATTAGGAATGTTCAATGCTCTTTACACACATGAATATCTTGATGTTGCGAGTGGCTACAAAATGTCCAGCTTCTAATTAAATCCCGATCCACTTTCGTTACTTCAAAAGCAGGCTTTATTCATACCACTCTAAATACATCATACCAACGAGACGGAACTTCTGTGTTGGTCTTCTGGCTTTATCTTTATCATTTATTTTCCTATTATTTAATTATTGCCTTCTGCATGCCCCTGCAATTCTAAATATCATTCCTACTTTTATATTTAAATAGAACTTTATCAGAAAAATTATTTAAAAATTTGTAAATAAGCCAACCCATAAGCTTCCTCGAAACTTCAAGTTTAATTTCTTGAAACAAAATAGACTAACATTACCTTTCTGTGATATTTTCAAAATTTTTCTTCCATCACTGCAAATAGATTGAAGATTTTCTCATATCTCTCTTTGGATTTCTCGGGAATTATGGCTGAGCATCCTTCTTGCCAAGCATTTTCTAAGTCCGAATAGTCACTTTCTTGAATCATAACTTACAAGAAGCTTGGCAAAAACATTATTTTGGAATGAAACGAAACAGCCATTTTCAGGAACTGCGTCAAGATTGTAGAAAAACGGTCAGACCCGTCGATTTTAGATTAAATGGGGACATTCTTTGCTGGTGCTCTTACAATTCTCTTTACAACAGACCTTAAATTTTATAATTCCGTCCAATACTTATTAAGAATTTTGATTTTAAAGTTGAAACTTATGTACAAACAATTAGTAACGATAAAAATGTCAGTTATTCGAGTTAAGTACGCCAATTGTATAAATTTAGTATTTCTTGCGT